TGCATCAATCTCCCTCCCCCACTCTCTCCTCACTCTCTCTCTCTCTCTCTCTCTCTCTCTCTCTCTCTCTCTCTCTCTCTCTCTCTCTCTCTCTCTCTCTCTCCCTCTCGCTCTCTCTCGCTCTTTACGTGGCAATCTCGTAGTCTAATCAGCAGCAGCAGCGGGCATAAACGCACACCCGCAGGCACGCACGCAAGCACGCACGCCCACGTCTCGATTTTCCTTCATACTCGTCGGAAAATGAGGATATGCGAAAACAAATGAAATTCGCCCACGGGGAAAGCGGATTTGGGCGCGCGCTGCGGCGGTCGGCAGATAATGACGAGGTAAAAGCATGCCCCCGCCACGGAATCTGCAGCTCGTCTGCAAAGCAGGTCGGTCGCCTAGGGAACGGTGCGAGCAGGCAGAGGGGGGAAGGGATTCTTTAGAAGGCGTCAGGTCACGAGGCGGGGGAAGAAGGATTACTGCCTGCCTAATATCGAACCAGATCAGCACGCAAAGTCGCGTAATTACGAGCAGTATATAAGCATGCGAGGCCAACTCTGCGCGTTAACTGAAGCCAACTCGGTCGTGGCGGCTGCGGCAGCGGCAGCAGCATCATCAACGCATTGTATATTATGTCGACCCAGCTCAGCTCGCATCAGCGGGCTCCCGGACCGCCGCTCGCGGACAGTCGTAATTGCCGAATACAAACGGTTAAATCGAAGGCGCGTGCGGTCATGAGTGAAAGAGAGCGCTCAGCCAAGCAGCTGCTTAAGTATGCGCGCACGCTGTACGTACCCACACAACTACGGTCCTACTTTTTTCCTCCTACTCCTCTTTCTCCTCCTCCTCCTCTGCCCCCTCCTCCTCCTCCGTCTCCTCCATCTTCTTCCTCTTCTTCTTCTTCTTCTTCTTCTTCTTCCTCATCCTCCTCTTCCACCTCCTCATCTTCCTCATCCTCCCCCTCCTCCTCTTCCTCCTCCTCCTCTTCCTCGTCCTCCTGCTCTTGCTCCTCGTCCTCCTCCTCATCCTCCTCCTCCTCCTCCTCCTCCTCCTACTACTACTACTACTACTACTACTACTACTACTATTACTACTACTTCTTCTTCTTCTTCTTCTTCTTCTTCTTCTTCTTACTTCCCTTCATTTCTCTCATGCGTGTCATTCACCTTACCCACCCTTTCCCGCCCTCTCTCCCGCCTTCCTCTCCAGTGTATCGTTTCCCTTTCTCTCTGTCCTCCTTCCCCTCCCCTCATCACCTGACCTCCTTATCTCGCGCAGTACCACCCGATTGCGACACCAGACCACCGTCATCGCGGCTGTGTAGGCGGCAGCAGGATCGAGATGCAGGCGTTGGTAAACACACTGGCTTCGTGATTACACACTAACGGGTCAATAGGCGACGGTCCGTAGATAAACGACACCGCCTCGCCACGTGCGTGTATGTGTGTGGTGTGTGTGCGTGTATGTGTGCGTGTGCGTGTGCGTGTGTGTGGGTGTGTGTGTGTGTGTGTGTGTGTGCGTGCGTGCGTATGTGTGCGCGCGTGTGTGGAGGCAGCTCGCATAGTCACTGCTGGCCAGATTGATGGGCAGCATAGCACATGTCTGAATGGCTCGTGAGGGAAATTGGTGTCCTTGCGACGCCGGAGTGAGTACACGCACTGAAAGCGAAATAATAAGTATTAATGCTAAGTCAACGAGAATATAGATGTATCCGAGTCAATATCAAACATCCCGTACGAGCGATCCATGGCAGCAAAGCCATTAACGGTGCAATAAAATATATCTATATCTCTATCTCTATCAATAGCTATAGATCAATATATATATATATATATATATATATATATATATATTAGAAGAGACCGCGTGTACTCATTTATATGATGATGCTTCATGCAGGAGCGATAGAAGAATCCGGCGAACGAGTTGCCATTAGAGCAGAGAGTGCATCGCATATGCGTATATGCATCGAGAATGGCATCGAAGCTGAATAAGTGAATTGTGCCTGTATTCGTGTGTATGTATACGAACGCAATCACGATGCGGTGTCGTTGCCACTGCGGAATCATACGCCGTATCATCAGCGCAGACGACATCCCGAGCGTATGTTTACCGCTGGCCTGCCCATGCACCCAGACGAGTTTTCTATACTCTTTCACTAAAGCCTTCTCGTTTGCGCAAAAAAACCAAACGCGCTCGCTATCGCTCTGTTGTGCGGCGTACAGTGTACGGCCAGACGCATTCCATGGAGAGACCGGATAGCAAACATTCTATGCAGACGGCTGGGGAAGCCATGCTTGCCCGGTATAACCGCCCGTGACTTCTCAATTTATAGGCACAGCAGTCAAATATCATATTGAGATCGAAGCGCTTTTCGACTAATCAAATATTTTACATTTCAAGTGGTGGCGGTGGCGGGGGCCCGTGCATGCGTGTACGTGCGCACGCACGCATGCACGCATACACGCTACGTTTGTCGATTTGTCGACGTAAACAGTCACAGTCAGTCGTCGCTTCGTTTTTGCAATGTTTGTATACTGTAGTTGTAAATAAATTGAATAAAAATATTTGCAAAAATCGCTATTTTTGCAATGTGATTATAAACAAGTGATCATCTTGCATCATTGATTCAGATCGACGAGGTAGGAGGAGGAGGAGGGAGGAGGAGAAGCGGAAGCGGAAGGGGAGGAGGAGGAGGAGGAGCAGGAGGATGAGGAGGAGGAGGAGCAGGACGAGGCAGAGCCGCAAGCGGAGGAGAGGGAGGAGGAGGAGGGGGAGAAGGAGGAGAAGCAGGAGGCGGCGGAAGAGGCGGAGGAGGAGGAGGAGGAGGTGCAGGGTGAGGAGGAGGAAGAGGAAGAGGATAAGAAAACGGAGGTGATAAAGGCGGCGGCTCGCTAATTCAATACGCGCCATTCGCAGCTTTCTTCTTCGTTATTTGTCAGGAGAATTCGCTCTTATTAGCATTTCCCCCGGGAGAAGCGGGCCTAGCGCGTCTCAGCCGCCCGACAGCCAATCTAAATTGGTCATTTCACGAGGAAGGGGAGTTGTGACCTTCAATTGAAATGAAAATGTACTCATTTCACTCGCCGAGGCCCATGAAAGCACCGCCGGAGACGAAGCGGCAGCGCGGCGGCAAGCGCGAATATGTCCTGCATGAATTTTTCCGCAAAGCAGTGTAGATGCGTTGAAACGACGAGATCCTAATGCGTTCTACATTTTAATCGATTATTCGTGATTAATCGATCGGCGTAGACTTTCGCAATGGCAATGCGGCGTATCGTAAAATGCGATGGCGCGCATTTAATTGATAGAGTGCCACAAACTATACTCACTGTTGTTATACCGTTACACGTACA